ACCAGCACATTGTATCCTAACTGCCCTTTTCAGGGCCAGTTTAAACACCTTAAACACCTGCAGAGGATCATGTCTAACATGTCCTAACATGTCCATGGGCTGATGGTCAGTGTTGCACAGAAATGGGTTGAAGGGCAGCAAGACGGTGCAAAGAGAAATTCCAGGGTGTAGGCCGAGGGCTTAGCTGGAGCCCGTGCTGCGGCTGCATTGGCGTGCGCCCCACGGGACTGGTTCTGCTTGCAGATCTGAGTGCGTTTTGTACGAGGCAGAGGTCGAACGAGGTCTGGCAGTCTGTGGGGCTGGATATCGGTGTGGGCCGCTGGAGCAGGCCCTTCCCGCGGCAGCAGCATCGCAGGCCTCGCTGTGGAACCGTCAGAGCGCGTCGCAGCGAGGGCTCCCACCCGAGCGAGCCTGCAACCTGCTACACGTCGGAGAGGTCCAAGAGAGGGGTTAGGTTGGCACACGTGCACCTTGCGCACCGCCAGAGCCGGCCAAACTTCTGTCATCAGCATCACCCTCCCACAGGCCTCAGGCTCGGCGTTGCCACTCCGCTTGGGCCACCTGCAGGGTAAAACCGTCTGTGAGATCCTTTAATTATCATTTTTTTCCTAACTCGGATAGTTTAGCAGCAGGGAAGGACATGTTTTTGTCACGTCTTTCTGCAATAGCATTGCCTGCTCGGAGGGATGAGGAACAAGAAGGATGAGGGCTAGATGGTCCCAACTCAATGTGTCCAAGGATCGCATGCATCGTTAGGAGTCACGGGCTTTTCAGATTTGGAGCAGAAAACTGAGGTTTTAAGGGATAAAACAAGACATCCAAACAGATAACAAATAAATAAATACATAGTAAGCATGTAAATACCTCCTAAAAGGGATTTAGAGATTATATCAAATGGACTTGCCAGAAGAATCTCTCCAATAAGATTACTGACCAACGGAGCAGTGTAATAAGGGGGTCTTCAGCTTGAGCTCAGTGTAACACAAGTTCTGCCTTTGTACCCCATTGCTCAGCATGGCAACAGGAGTGCTGTAATGTGCTGCTGCTACTGCAGAGCCAGTGCTGAAGCCGTAAAATCACATTTTCTAGCCTCCAATGGCTCCTTTGGGAACTGAACTGCATCCACGCTCTGCCTTATTAAATCAGTCACTACTGCACTGGGCTTTGCCGGTGGTCCCCTCTGACATAATTAAGAAGTGTCCCTTAGATGCAGGATTCTGCAAGACAAGAGCAGATTTTTTGGCTATGGCGGATTAATAATTGGCTTTGCAGTGGTGGCAGTTCTCACCTTTTAACTATTTCTAAAAAATTCCAGAGACAGGCTTTCCTGTTAGTGCCATTGCAGTTTGAAATGTAGTTATGCTCAGAGAGCATAGTAAGCTTGGAATGCTTGAACTTTTCCTAACCTCCCTATTAGCGGTTCTCCCCCTTTAAATTCTTGGAGTTATATATATAGAGAGGAAAACAAATACACAGTGTCAAACTCTGTATTCTTCCATGTTGTTTCTACCATCAGTTGGTTGAAGCGTTACAGACTTCATAGACGTCGTTCTCACCAGTGCAGTAGAAATGGATCCAAACCATTCCCGTTCCCCCAAAGCTGCAAAGCCTTAAAGATGAGGAAAGTCAAGATCCAGGTTCTGCCGAGAGATTTATTGCTTCCCAGACAGATTTTTCACGTCCTCTCTCTCCACTCTAGGACTTTTCCATAACAAAGAGGGAGCAAAGGCTGAAAAAACAATATGGCTTGAAACTTCTGCTCTCCCGTGAGTGTAAGCTTTGAGAAACACTGCTGAAATGAGTCAATTTGCAGCAGCATAGCTGAAGCCAACCCTTGACCCTGCATTTCCTCTGTCACCTCATCTTCTGTAGGAAAACATTCCAGCTGAAGCTTTGAAAAGCAGTTCGTTCCTCACCTGAGCATTGAAGGATTAGTCTGTGCCTTTGTCTTGGAGAGTTTGGCATCTGGGAAAGAGAAAGGAATACATCTAGCTTACAACTTATATAAAAGCTGGGTGTGAGAACAAAAATCCTACCAATATCTGAGGGTGGACAAGGCCTTGGAAAAGAAAGCAGAGAAGAACAGGATGAAATTAAGATAACATTTTCCTGAGCTCTGAAAGAAAGGAATGGAAGCTTTAGAGAGCATTTGGAACTTGGGGAGAAGCAAAGATGCTGTCTTGCAAGACAGCCCCCGGCTCAGGTGGGATACAGCCCTGAGAGACTTTCCCTCACTAATTTGTGTGATTTGACAGGATTTGAACCTTCCACCCCCTCCAAAGGGAATGCAGTGTGGCACTGAGAAGAGAGAAAACTTGTCAAAGCAGCAACTCATTTTCCTTCCACCTAATTTTGCAATTTAAAAAAAAAAAAAACAGCTATGTCGTTTCTCAGGCAAGGAGCTATCCAGCAGCTTCTCCCTTCCTTTCTCCCCATATGAACTTCGAACTTTTTAGGACAAACAAAGCTGCTCTGCTTATCCAGCCCCTGAATGTGTCTGAGGGCTGAGTGCTAATGCAGCAAAGGCTACAGAGGGTATGGAGAGGGGCTCTCCTCTTCAGCTAATGCTGATCTAATTTAATATATTTAAGAATTGACTTCTTCAGCTATGCTGTTGCTCCATGTCCCCAGCAAGAAGGCATCATGCTGGAAATTGTCACCAGCAAGAGCCAACAGTGGCAGGTGATGCTCACAGCGTGGCTCCCCTTGCATGAGTGACTTTGTCCAGGTTCTTGAGTGAGATCCCATTTGGCCTAAACCGAGGAGAAAGGAGTGTCAAATTGTGCCATGCTTTTTACTGACATTTCTTTAGCATCTCTCCAGTTTGACCAGTGGGTAAAATGTTTTGCGGAGTGTGAAGAGATGTCAGCTGAAGGGTCTGGGTGCTTTGGAGCAGCTTTCAAGAGCAAGAGCCGACAGCATACGAGGATATGGGACTCGAGGAATGGGAAGCCCTGTAAAGCTATGCAATCCCAGGGCTCCTGGGATCTCGATGAGGCAGATAACACAGTCCCCATATACCTCACACCTCCAGTGTTTCCCCTCTGCAATATCTGTGTAGCTTTGGAGGATCTATCCTCACAGAGGAAATCACGCGCCTATGTCACGCGCTCAGATGCTGCCAGACAGAACTGATCATGAGTTACTGCTTGTCTCTACAGTGGTAGAGCTGCAGTCTGAACAAGCTAATGCAGAAGATACAGAGCGCAAAACAGCACAGAAAGGAAGTATTACATCCTGGGACAGATCCCTGCAGTCTTTATTCAGACCTTGATCTGAATCTGAATGATCTAAAGATTGAGCAAAGTTTGCTGTTTTGCAGCGGTGTGCTTGGTTGGGCAGGGAGGCTCACATCTCCTAATTCTAGCTTTGCAATTTGTAAAGAAGTGTTGTAGATTCTCATTTTTAAAGGTTTGCCTATAGGAAAGGATACCCATAATTATCTCAGTACATACAACC